ACTTCTCTTTGGCACACCCAAAGGGCCAGAGATAATTTGACTGGAAAAATTGTGCCTGTCAGATGAATTTAGAAGCAGCCTTTCTAGATCCAGCCAGCATTGTGTATTTAATTTTCAGATTCCCTCTTCAGATCTTTGTTTACAATAACAGATGAAAAGAATTACTTTTACTTTCTGCCTCCATGTTCTTCTGTTTTCCCTAAGGCAACAACAGTAATAAAATGAGTTAAAGGGAATAGTGCTCATTTATTGCCAACTTTGTTTTTCCAAAGTATCACCAGATATGGCTGAGGGACACTTGCTAAGTGACACACCACTTTTTCTTTTTTTTTTTTTTTTTTTTTTTTTTCAAATTAAATCATTACACACTGATGGATCTATAAGCCTATGGCATTGCTAATCTTCCTATGATTTAGGGAAGGGCTGGAAAGCTTTAAAGGAAGCATAAACTGAGATGGCATATGAACATTTTGGCTTAAATTAAGTATTATCATAACAAATGAGATGGTGAGTTAAATTACAGCCATGTGATTCTAACTGCATGAACCATAAACTCAATAATTAAGTGCCAGCCACTCTTAAATGCAAAGAAGCATGCACAGAATATAGCTATATCATGTGTAATGTAAAGAGTCTTGCTTCTTCTTAACTGGGTATAGCTTTCTGAGCTACAGTGATTACAAACTGCCACCAAGAGAACTATCAAGTATAAAAAAGTGAATCACAGTTGAATTCAGATAAGTGTTAATAACTAGGTAAAATTTAATGGCAATTAAATAGCCCAAGTAGATGTCTATCTCCTATAAATTATAATACAGTCAGTGCTAATAATATACACACAATTTTGCTGATACACTTTAGCTGTTAATGGAAATGACACAAAAGTGTAACTCTGTATGGACCTGTTTGCCCATGTGACAGAGCGTATGTAGAAGCTTTCCGGGACCAAGTAAAAGTACTCGGTACTCTTTGTATCTGTTTATTTATCAATATTTAACTCTCACCAGAAACATCCACGGAGTAGCCAATTTCAAACAGCATGCAAAGTGTGTATAAGTATCTGTCATCATGTAGCTTGTCCTATGTGACTTTGTTAAAGTACCCATTGAAATTTTAAAGATTTATACATATCAATGCCAGAAGGGACCATTTCAACAATTTGAAATTTTTAAAAGTGGCTAAATAAATTAGATAGTCAAATCACACTTGAAAATAACGTCCTAAGGTGCCCTTCAGAAACACCTCTTTAAAGCTTTCAAGTCATAGAAATCTATCATATCCTTTAATAGGGATTTCTCTGATTAATTGTGTACCACATGAACTACTGCTATGGTGCCTCAGCCAAATCTAGTGCAGAGAGATATCGACTAAACAGCAGCCCAAACTTTTAAAACAATGGTCAATTAATAGTGTAAGGACTAGATGAGCTTTCCAGTCAAGAAGCTATCCCTATGCTATCCCTACCTAAAACTAGCTAGTGTTTCTGGTAACTTTTGTAAATCACCCAAGCTTCACTTTGCTGGTTTATGACATCCCAGGAATGTCAGAGTGGAATTGTAGGCACATTTTTTTTGCAGTTACCTATTATTTAACCCATATGTAATACAGAGGTTGCCATGTGTTTCTGCTGGGTCCCAGGTGCCTGTGAGATCTTAAAATCAAAATATTGAAGCTCACTAGTGAGGGATAAGACTAGCAGCATGTCTGTATTGTAAGTTCAGTATAAATCTGAGAAATACTCTGTAGAGACTTTGTCTTCTTTGATCATTACCAAGGTCTGGTCAGGAATCGTGAGAAATATTCACGGGACTTACAGCAACCAGAATAGATCAAATGAGAGACTGAAGTCCAGAATAGCAAGAAATCCTCACAGAATTGCTCACTTAGTTGAATTACATAAGCAAATATCTTATTTGTTATTTATAGTCTTTAATTTTTCATGAACTTTGGTGCTTGTGATACTCTATACTGAGGAAATGGAAATATATTGTAATACTAAGTACTTGCATGGGACAGTAATTACAATTTTATTGGAAAAAAAATCTGTATTTTGTGGGAAAGTGTAGCAGTTAACTTCTATCAGAGAAGTCCTGCTGTAAGTAAGTATAGCATAGCTGAGGTGAGTCTTTCAGCCTTTCTCAGCTTACCCATATAAAAAAAAAGATCCGAAGCATACTTTAAAAGGTTTATCTATCTATCCAGTGAGCAAAGCTTAACTAATTAACATATACTAAGCCCTTTAAGAAACAGAAATCAAAATGACTGCTTAAGGAACAAAGGGATATCAAGAGAGTGGGAACAGCTTAAGTCGGCCGCCCTCCTCAAATCCCTTGTGGACTGTCCTGAGCTACAAACCTGCTGTGCATAGATTGGCATGACTGACAGCGTCAGTACAAGGAATCCCTCTGAAGGAGTGAAAACGACAGTAAATTACCTCTTATAATTATGAGAGGAAATCTCAGAGGTCATAGCTGAGGTTAGCAGTGGGGCAGAGCCGGGGTTATACTTGTGCTGCAGCTGCTGCAGTGCACCTGGCCTATTAGTGGGGACCTGCATTTTCAGCACTGACTTCCCCTGGAGATCAATAATTAAAAAAAAAATTAAAAAAGACCTCGATGTAGAAGTATAGACTGTCATGTAGAAAGTTTTGAACCATCACAAGTGAAGAGTATCTAATATCTTAGCAGTGGTACATGCTGAAAGCAATATTAAATCAAGCATGTTTTATACGCCATTTTATTTGTCCTCTATTTCTCTTGTTCCTTCTAATGAGAGTCTGTTGAGTTATTTTTATGGCCTTTATATTTCACACTCCCAAGGTACTGACAATGGCTTTAAGGAATAAATGAGGGAGGAATAAGAAGTTTCTCAAATGATCTGTAATCTTTATCTGTAATTACAGCTAAGGCATTTACATTAAGTACTATGTTTGTAAGGCACTGTTTTATGGCAAGAATAGGTAGTTGTAAATATTTAAAGATGATAACATGAACACATAAAGGTATATATTCCATTATTGCTCTTTTAACACCATCCTTCTAGTTGCCTACCAAAATTGGACACACATTACATATGACCTATGGATTTTTTTTTTTTATTTCTCACCTCCTCATTTAGAGAAGTCTGAAAATTAAAAAAACGAAAGCAAATCCACCCCCAACAACCCATATATGTGAAAAATGTTTTTCAAAACAAATTATCTGATTCTAGAAACATTTTTCTGTACTACCGTTATCCTCAGTTTGGGCTGCACTGTGTCCCAAACTCTGTGCTCCTGTTCTGCCTTATTCTTTTCCATCAGCTCATGGGAGTGCTGCTTCTAATGCACAGGATCGTAGCAGACAACTAAAGCACAAGGGTCACATATAGCATTGGAGTGTGGTATTGGCTTCACCTTTTACTCACGATCAGCAGGTGTAGCCACCCTAATATCACAGGAAGCAAAAGAATCAAGGAGAATAAAATAGTTACAGTATAAATAGTCAAGCATACTACAGTCAGAGGATGAGGACCTGAACTTCACAGCTCACTCCAGAATAATAATGATTTACAAAGAATGGGTTGGAATCAGCCTCGTGCGATATATAAAACATACTCTTTCTTACTATTGTGAATTTCTAAAAATAATTATTAAAAATTAAAATGTATACTTTCATTCTAGGTGCTGAATCTCTTATTAATTTTCTAGGTTTCAACCCCAGCTATAAAAAAAATCTACTTAATGTAATATCATAATACTTAGTATAAGATCAAGCTGCAAGGTTAGTTAATTTGTTCAGACATTTAACACTAGCCTTATTTTTTTTTTTACCTTAAATATTAGATATCCTAGTCCTCACCTTGCAAAGTACTCCTGAAAATTATTTATGAACCTAAAGATGGATTAATTTAAATGTATTATTTCTGTGTAATGAGATAGTATCTGGCACTTTAGCTGTCCCTTCACATATATAGCTTAGCCTATATTTCTTAGTTTTTACCTAAACCACCTCTACTGTTCCCAAATGGCTTTTTATGAAGACAACTGTCCTCTATGGCCTAGGTAAAGACTGATGAAACTATTTTTATTATGACCTAGGAAATTATTCAAATGGAGCTCTCTAGAGGCATATGGTTGGCATTATGAATATTTTACAGAATCATCTCTGAAAATCAGGCCAATAGCATATACACGCGGGGCCAAGTTCCACTCTCAGTTATACCTTGGCAACCACAATGATTTCCCATTTGGCTATGCTATGCAAGTATTTGTTTGGCTTATTGCATGCATGTATTTTTTATCTTTTTTTTCCCTTCTTCAGCCCTGTCTTCCTATTTCCCATATTATTCTTATAAAGAAGACAGTTATTATCAGTGTGGAATGATTACTATTTGGAGGCCACTGACTATGTCTCTCATACCTCATAAATACAGGCAATAAGGTGTACACAGGAATGAGGGAAAATGTACAGAAAATTATGCCTAATGTAATAGTGTCTTTCCTGAGACACCAAAACTGACGCAGAATGTTAAAACCACTTTATCCTCAATCTTGCTATGAACTCCGTGCAGGAAAGAGCTCAGGGAAACCCACTGCCTCCACTGAGATGCCACAAAGAGAAAGCACTTCTTGGAATTCACTATAGGACTGGGACCTGGAGCAGGGCAAAAATAGGTCTAAATATTATGTACCCTGAGATCAGGAGACAATTATACAAGGGTTAATATTTCTCATTCTGATGGCTCTCTTCCCTTCTCGTTCTTGGTTTTGGGGTTTTTTTTTGGTAGATAATTTTTATTTCATTTGCATGATTTCCCTATACAAATTTAAACCCTTGGTCATAAAGACAAAATTTCATTCTTTTGAATAAGAAGGCTGAGATAACTCAGGACTGAAGTTATGGTCGGATGTGTGACCTTACAGAGGAGGAAAAATACTTTAAGAATTAACACAATAAGATATAATAAAATATTTACGATGTTTTATAAAAGAAAAAAACGCTAAAAAGATTTGTACTTACCAGAATATCTTTTCCAGCCCACTTGCACTCATCCCTTCGGGAATGAGATACAGGCCAAACAATCTAAAGACAAAGAACAAAAATCACGTTGTGTTATTTCATGCTTCAATAAGCACAAATTGCAGACCAAATGCTACATAGTGTCTTTACCCAGTTTCTTTTTTACCCATTCTTTTCCTTATTTCCTTTTGTTCCATAAAATTTGTCAACAAAGAAATGAAATGATAGGAGCAAAATAGAAATAATAGGAATCACAGTAAAAACAATCTTGAAATATAGTCTGTATGGTGAATCTCAGCAGTGAATCTTGAATACTAAGGATAAGAGGGTTGATTCTCCATTAAGTGAGTGTTCTTCCACTGTTTTAAATCTGATGTAATGGAATGGAGACTGAGAGCAAAAAATTGCAGATGTGTACTAACAATAAATCGGATCTATGTGAAATGCAATCTCATGTTAGAGTTACAGCATCAGAAATGAGGTGTTTGCCTCTTCAGTGTATCTACTAGTTCACTCTTTTACTAAATTTGGTTAACCAAATAATAAAAAAGAAGCCATGGTTTTTGAAAAGTATCACACCATCAAAATAGAAATGTTTATGCTGTTCCTATAGAGCTACTCTAACACAAGTAAACCTAAACCTAGGTTTACTCTAGTGTTTGCTTAGCAGAAAATGGATCTCACCTCATACAGAGAAAATCCAGAGACCCTCACAGTCAATTATTCATGTTTTTTTGAAAAGCTTTTAGGAATTACATATAGAATAAAACATGATCTTCCCATAAAATGCCAGGCTATTCATTTGGGAGCCTCAGATAATGCAATATGAATGGCCATGAGTCTGGATTACAGCCTTGGTGTTCAATACAGTTTGTTAAAAGAGAGTGAAAGGCAAAGTATTCAAAAAGAAAAGAAAAAAGAATTAATATAGATGTCAGAAGAGGTTGAAGGAGATGTTATACATGAGATTTGAAAATACAGTTTACAACCATGTTTTTAAATTCAAAATTTTCTTAAAACTTAATGAAATCCAAACAGCAATCGAACATCTTAAGTCTATAAAATAAGGCTGAAAATTTTATGAGCACATTCTCTCTCAAAGGATTCCTGCTACTTCCTGTTTCTATTCTCAGCTTAAAATGTGCAGAGACATGTGAAAATTTAAATTTACTAGGTTGAAAAACATTAACCAAACTTCTCAGATTTCCCAAAAGGACCAGTTCAAGTTCAGTTCAAGTTTTGGGCAAAGATTTCTATGTTATGCAAACCAGCATTCTAATCCATAAAATGAATGGCTAGATGTTCTTTTTCCTTATTCTCACAGCACAATATTTTCCTCTAATTTGGTTTAAAAGTCAGCTAAATAGAACAATTTTTAATGGACTGGAAAGTTTGGCTCTTTGAGTTGTGCTCCTTTGGAGTCATATGATGGTATCAGCATTTAGACAGAAACACAAGTTCTTTTTTACATGGTGGAAGCAACAATTGGTGAAGTTTGAGCTCAAGTGCAGCACTGGCTGCATTGGGATTTTGATCGAAGTTTCTTCAGTGACCCTCCTGCCTTTAATAACCAGATCCCCAAATTCTTTAAGCCTTTTGTCTATTCTTAAATCTAAAGTCTAAATTGTAAGTCTATTCTTTAAGTCTGTTGCCAACATTCAGTTCCATGTTACCAACAGCACTTGTTTATTTAATATAGTAATAATTGCATATAACTTCAAATAGCGTCCTAAAGGTATCTGAATATGTAAGTATGTAAGATACAATTCCTCCCATTCTGCAGAGCTGTTTTCTGCAATGGAAACACCTTCCTTCCTTTAATTATTCCAGATGTTTTGCACATTAAGCTATCAATCCCTCAGAGAATTCAAATAAATAGCTAGTTTCCTTTATAGCTGCTCTAAAGAGAATAGAAAAGAAAATACCCGGTTTTCCTTTTATCCTTTTTCCTTAGAGAATACAAATGAATAGCCTGTCTTCCCTCTGAACAGAAAACACAAAGTATTTATTGCTATCATCTTAGGAAGCTAATAGTCAAACGGGCAAAAGGTCAGGAACACCAAGAAAAAAAAATCCCTGGGTATTGAAGCAATATATCTCTCATAAAAGGGTACTCTCTGGATTTTAAAATGTGCCATCAAAATACTTAAACATAACAAATCAACCTCCATCCTATTGTTTACTTTCTTAGCTTTTTGTTTTATTAAAATAAATGAAAAATGAAATTATTTATTTAGGCTCCAACAAAGGAACATCACTGAACTGTTTGTCAGCTTTTAATTTGTCACCAACTTTTACTGGAAAATTATACTCTCCATCAAGAATGGCAAGCTTTTATGGACCTATTCCTCTTTTATTAATACTGAATCTATTGTGGTTTGAAAGCAACAGAAGCAGAGTGCCTACAAGTACTGGGTTAAAGAAGAGAAATCAACACTTAGACTCCCAAACACCTTCTTTTTATCTTCAAACAAATACAGAGTAATAAGGCCTTTCTTGTGTAAACTGTCATAATAGTTGTTTGGGTTTTTAGCAGTAAATATGAAAGTATGTCTCGTTTGGGAAATAGCTGGATTATTCACTTGTCATTTACTTTTTCATAGTCTGAAAAAAACATTGTAGATTATACAGTCATAGGTTATAGGCTCATTATACATTTCTCTTCGTAGAGTCAGCAAATGTTTTTGTTGTAATAGTATTCCTGACATCCAAACACTTGCTACATAATTCATACAGTGTCCAATATAACCTGATTAATAACAATTCTGCAACATTAAAAGTATATATTTACATTGTACAAAACATGAATGAAAGTACCTTTTGATATTCCTTGATGTTAACCAGGTTGAAAGAAAATATGTGATCCTTTGCTCCAACATACAGCCGACTCCGTTCTTCATCCAAGAGGAAAGTATGGTAACTGGAGCTATTAGTGAGTCCATTGAAATGGATTATATTGTTGGATTCCAACATTTCTGTAAGATAAAGGTAATACTGTCCTTATTAATATTGTCAAATATAATACAGACTTATATTTTGATTTGTACGGATTTTATTTCAGGAATTTATACTTATGGAGTAAAAACCAGTGGAAGCGTTATGTACCTGGGCCCGTGAATGTTTTTATTTCAAGTACCCAAACTGCTTGTGAGATTCAGCTCTACACAAAGGTCAAAACATCAGTGAAATCAATTAAAATCCTGTATGAGGTTTTAGGTGGTAATATTCTATCCGTGTAACTCATCAATTGTTGGACAAAGTTCAATTTTCTTCGATCAATGACATTTACAAGGATAAACCTGAGGATAACCAGCCGATAAAAAACACATCTAAACACAAAATCTCCTACTTCCAGCATACAAACTATTTCATACAGATCTGTAAGTTATGAGAAAGGGAATGACTAGTTGACAAGAGAAAATAACATGTACAACCTATTCTTACATTTATTACTGTCTTCCCAGCTTACTGACACAGGCAGCATGTTGTTCCCTTCCTTGGAATTGTGTATTTATCCATCACAAAAATAAAACTAGAGAAGTTAATTTTGCTTTTGTTTAAGCTCAAGAATAATTTTCTAGTTCTCATACTCCTCACAGAGCTGTTGCACTTGCCGAGGACAGGATTTTTTTTAAGTACAAGGATCCACAGAATGCTCTTAGCTATTCACAAACATTAACAGACATACACATTTTCCTGAAACTGCTTAAAAATAATTTTTCCATAAGATAATACAGACCATATTAGTATAAACTTTCATGAAAACACTCCTTCTTTGTTCCTGTCTATCTACATTCATATCGGGACCAAAGCCAAACCATCTCTATCATTTGAAGGCATGTCTGCACTAGTAAGTCATCGATAAACTTTCCCTGTAATGACAAATGCTACATGGTTCAAGCCCCGACCTTGTGATGTATAGAGGGAAACACGCAGTCTCAGGAGCAGGAGCAGTTCCATCGATGCCAGTGCAGCTCCTCACACAGCGCCCATGAGGACAGATGAGAAAGGGATCGAATACATCGGGATCCAACGGCTGATGGCTAGAGGGCACAGCCAGACCGTCAGGCGTCTAACGTTTGTGTTAGCTCCGCCATATGTGCAAGCCAAGGACACGTGTCGCTCCTCTCAAAACAGCTGCCAAATGCCTAGATGTCTAGGCTTTGCCTAACAGTGCAGCTACCTGCTATGACTTTTTGGCTTTCAATAAGATCGCTCCCATTTTCCACCATTACTCCAATTGATGAGTGAGCGTAAGATAGCATCCCCTGTGCTGCTAAAAATCAAGCTGAAGCAGCTGTTAAAACAGCAGCTTCTGCTTAATTTTCTTTTTAAATTAATTTTCTTTCTTTTTTTTTCCCCACTTCTTTTGTTTTAACTAGAACACAGAAGATGTTAGCTGGGGCTTTTTTGGACTGCCATATTAGTGGTACTAATGATTTTACAGAATTTCAGCACTTGCAGCTTAGTAGTAGTCCCACAGATGTTGAACCTATTTTTTACATTCACTTATACCAGGTGAAGCAGGCTGATACTCTCTAATGGCAAGAATTAGTAGGCAACATATTCAAGGAAGATAAAGATGACACTAGAGCTGGACACCATTCAGGTTAGCTTTGCCCCAGAATTCTTTGCACTTATTTGGAAAAACTCACTAGCACCAGAAAGAGTTAAGTTGTGTAGAAGTGTAGCAAAGTGTCAGAGCATGCACTATATTTTGTTCCTTATTCTACGTTTTTTCTCGCTAGATATAACTATACATTTGTATTACAGAATACTTTTTAAAACTTATACTGCTCAAGACTTAAGTTCTCTTTTTTTTTTTTAAATGTAACAAGAAAAAATCAAATCACCCCAAGCAGTCTTGTCAAAATAATTCTTCTGGCTTCCTGCCAAGTTCTAGAATTTGATTGTATTGTCCTCCAGTTCACTTATTTGCATTTTGTTAGAGACTTTACTAATTCTCTTTACGTTGTAATGACTGATTCAGATGTTGAATGTCGACTTGCTGAATAGTGAGTGATGCAGATGATTGATTGCTTAACTTGTCTTAAAACTCTCTTGGCTAGAAATGCTTTGCTGTCATCTGTATCTGATCATTTTTCTTATAATACAGCTGTCAAAAACCTTTGTAATTTTTTCATCTTTCTCGGTTTGAACTTGCATAGGTATGATTCTGCCCTTTGTGACTGTGGCGTAAAGACAAGTGTCTGCTGAAGTCAATGTTACACAAATGTAAAACTGATATAAATGGAAAGAAGACCAGTTAGGCATACGGCTACTTGGTTTAAAACAAGCTTGATATGATTTTGCTAATGCAGAGTTCTAAATATTCACATCTACAGATGGTGATTGATGTTTTCTTTTCTTTCTAATTCTGATGAAAAATGCCAGATCATAACATTAGAGTCTAAGGTTTATTATGGCCAAGAGTAAATTACATCATCATCTTCACTGTTCATATGTCTCCACAGTGTAACTTAAAAGAACCAGGTGTAGCTGTGCAGGGAAATATACATACGTATGTTTTTCTTTTCATTTTCTGTGACTCTTCAGAGTATGCAACAATGTTAAAGGTAACACTGGTGGGTTTTTTGTGAACTTGCAATTTAAAATAAAACTAAAAGCCAAATCCCTGTTGTCTTCTCTAAGATTAGGACATTTCTCCTGGGTTTTAATCCAGTATCTGTCGTATTGTCCATTATTGACTTTTGCAGGAGATGACCAGATTTCCATGGTCTGTTACTCAAAAAATTAGGCCTAAGCATATCCCAAGCAATGTATTTCAAATCATGTGAAATTAGGTTTCTCCTTATCAGGAATCAAGTTGAGAATATAGGTTGAGCAGAAAAATGTCATTTGGGTGCTGATGATTCTCATTCTCTACTAATTCAGTTAGGATTGAGTTACATCAGAACTAAGAGGTGAAAACCTAAATAATCTCTGCAGTTCCTCTGCTGTTTACTCCAACTTACACATATTTCTCCAGTGATGAATATGGCTTCATATGACATTCTGGAAAGGGCTGTTGAAGAGCAAAACAATGGCATTTGCACAATCAATACAAATTAAGTATTCCACTTCCTCAAATTAATTAGTTTCAAAGTGTTTACCATCCAGTGTCTTTTCAGTATCCAGCCAATGACTATCACTGAGAGAACGACAGAAACAGCAGAGACAGGGCACACTCCCAGAAGGGCACAGACATCCATCAATTCTGTTAAATGTCGATCAGTCATGATAGCAAGGTACATGGCTGATCAGTGCTAAAATAAACCAAGATTTACAACAAAGATTGCATTGCAATGCCAAGAGGAAAATGATGAATGCCTTCAATAAATCAATGAAATTAATACTGTCTACTATGCATACCCTAATTCTTTTCCATTTTTTGTTGCAATTGTTCTTATTAAAGGTATTAAAGCATATCTACGACCTATGCAGACAGATAATGGTTCCCTGTACTTAAAGTATTTTTTTTTGCTTCCTCTATGCTTTGTCCAGCTATTTTTATTGCAAAGATGGTAACATTACTCCACCAGATGTTGCAGCCAAGTAACATTTCTTCAGTAATTGCTCAGAGAGCATTTTCTTATTTCCTTTTGACACATCCTCAGCTGTAGTCATGCCTGTTGTTTTGAACAGGAATAAATGAACCCTATAAAGCTAACCACTGCACATTATGACTGTAGTATTGTCTATAAAATGCTGTATGAGGTACATTTAGAGTGGGTGGTGATATTTTGAAGGTAATAAAGACTTCATTGCTTTTGTTATTGGTACTTACTTCCCACATTTATTAAGAGTGTTGCAGATGACCAAAACTAACGGATTGAAATGCACTATATCTTAAAAAACCATCATATTATAATGAATTTTCACTTGTGATGATCACTGAAAACAGCTGGAGGGTGAGTTTCTTAGGGTTTGTGGGACAGATTCTCTTACTAACCACTTCACTTCAACTACCTTTAATTCACAGTCCTGACTTGCTTGCTCCATCTCACTCTCCTTTCTCTGCCAGTGTCGAACCTTGGAGTATTTGACCTTTTTCAATATGCCTTTCTTTAGACTCTGCATGGCCTTTCTCCTATTAACTGATGTTTCTGTTGATCCAGTCTGGCTTGTGTTAGAGCATTGACTTTGCCAGGCCAAGCTGGCAAATTTACAGAAGAAAAGCAGTCCCTAATTCTTGCCTTCCTTTTAATACATGGTTATTTAATTTGCTAATGGAATCGCAACTTAATAGTATGTATATGCACAGAGGGCCAAATTCCTGCAGTGAAATCCATGGAGGTATGCATGCACAAGGAATGTAGATTTGGTTTATTTTTATGACACTTTTTTCATTAAAGAATAAGCCAGAAAACCACAGCTATAGCTAAGATGAATGCAGTCAGGCAGATCCTGAGGTTTGCTTTATCCGTGGTTGGTATTCCACTGTAAACCTTGTTTTATGTCTGTGTTCCTTCAGTGGAGTTTGTCAAGAGGAGAACATAACAAAAGAAAACCATCTTATTTTTTACTTATCTACTACCAGGCGAACTATCTTTTCAGTGAGAGGGAGTTTGTCTGTGTAACAAGTTAGAAAATTTGTGAGCCTTGGCCTGCGTTCCTGTTATAGACTTCACAATAACATGCTAGCCAAGATTATTTTTGTTGATAAGGATCAAAAGGCCATATCAATTTCTAGCAAAATCAGAGGAAAGGTCTCCCAGCTTCCTCACTAGGATTCAGATCTGGCCCGGTCCTATTACTGGTGACTCTGCAGAGTGACTGGATTATACAGGCAGTTCTGCTCGTCATAACACGCTTGTGAATAAAATGAGTGGGTTGCTGGTTGCACAAAATTCTCGACCTTCATTCTTTTGCCAGCAACGATAAGATCTCGCTGTGTATCTCCTAGCAGTAGATAAAAGATGAGTCAATGCGTATTATGCCATCAAACAGGGATTTTGCTGAATTGTGAGCAA